ACTACTGTATACTCTCCATTGTATACTACTGTATACTACGTGATACCTGCTCTTTTCTAATTACGCTTTTAAGACCTACTTCTAAAATGGCTTTAACCCAAACTGTACATATTTCTCTTTGTGTTCTTGTCTCCGGGTGGTCTTTTTGGCTTCTAGAAATGTTTTATTGATGTAGTCAAAGCTATTAACATTTCCTTTCCTTTCAGTTCCTAGTTTTGGTGTGTTCTTAGAAAGTCTTTTCCTAACACTAAAGTAGCACTTCTCACCTGAAAGCAACGTAACCAAAGTGATAAATGTCAACCAAATATGTAGTTATTAATTTCTTTCCACTCACGTTTAAAAAGTAAAAATAAAAATGTGAAATTACATTTTATTTAACCTAATATATATAGTAGACATACTCCCATTGCAATATCTAATCAGTTTTTTAAATGTTACAGAAAGCTGGGTGCAGTGGCTCATGCCTGCAATCCTGGGAGGCCTAGACTATCAGATTGTTTGTACTCAGGAATTCAAGACCAGCCTGAATAAGCTCGAGACCCCCTGTCTCTAAAAATAGCTGGGCATTGGGGTGGGTGCCTGTAGTCCCAGCTACTCAGGAGGCTGAGGCAAGAGGAACTCTTGAGCCCAAGAATTTGAGGTTGCTATAGGCTGTAATGCCATAGCACTCAACCCCAGGGCGACTGAGAGAGACTTTGCCTAAAAATAAATAAACAAACAAATAAATAAAGTGTCATAGATATTTCATATTCTTTTTTTAATACTAAGTTTTAAAAATCTAGTGTATGGCACATGTCAATTTGGACAAGCCACATTTCAAATGCTCAATAGTGACATGTGATTGATTAGTGGCTACCACACTGGGCAATGTAGCTCTAACATACAAGGCTTCACCTATATTTTATTTCATTATACAGAACTCAATTTTTTCTTCCATCTGACATTTGTTTTGCTATTAGGTATAGAAGAGTCTCTAACTTCATTTCCCCTCCGCAGAACTGGGTAGTTCACTCCACTGTAAAATCCTACCTTACATACAGAACGTTCTGACATCAACAACACAATGTTTTATCAGTTATAGCTTCAGAATTCACTTCACTATCCTGTATATCTTTATTCCTCTTGTCTTTCAGTTTCCCTGATTTTCCCATATTTGTCTTTTCAAATAAGGTTTAGCACTATGGTCAAAGGTAGAAATTTGAATGGGATTTTGACAAGGATTATGTTCAATATATAGAATAATGTGGGAAAAATAGACATCTTCATAACAGGAAGCTTTCCATTTAAAAGGATGAAAGATGTCTTTTGCTCCTTTCATATAATTTAACAAGTTTGTAAGTAATGATTTCCACATAAGCTTTTTACATATTTTTTATGTTTCTTCATAGTTATTTGATTTTTAAAAAAATCAATCTGTAAAACGAGAAAAACCACATCACAGTTTAAAAATCAATACTTTTTTACGTAGTGTGGTTTCATACAACCTAAAATACATTTGTAATATAATAAAAGTACATAGCACAGGTTTATCAGTTTCATCTCCTAAATAACTGCTTACTTGCAATGCCAAATGCATCTCCAGTCCCCAAAGTTAAGATCTGTCTTGTCTGGATTTTCATCTTCAGTTGGCTTCTCCAAGTTAGTATTGGACCAAAGTTGCAAATAGTTGGAACCAATTAAAAGACGACTGCCTAAAAAATATTATTTACCATTTATTATTTAGGTATTTAATACTGAGTTCAGTTATACACTCAAGAATTTCATATACTATAAAGATAAAACATCTTAAGCTGAATAACAAAAAGGTATTTGGAGAGGAGAGAGAAGGCTGTGTTTTAATTTTATAGAAATAGCTTGGGAAAGAAGGGAATAGACCTTATCGCCTCTCATTCAACAAACATTTAATGAGTATCTTCTTTGTACCAGGCACTGTGCTAAGCACAATGGCAAAACACAGTCCTCTTCCAAGATGAGTTAACATTTCAAGAGAGAGACATAAAAATGTTATGATCTAATGTAAAAATATCATATACATGATAAAAGTGTGTGCAAAGTTGGGTGGCACCTATGGCTCAGTGAATAGGGCTCCAGCCCCATATACCCAGTGTAACAGGTTCAAACCCGGCCCCAGCCAAACTGCAACAAAAAATAGCCGGGTGTTGTGGCAGATTCCTGTGGTCCCAGCTACTCAGGAGACTGAGACAAGAGAATCACCTAAGCCCAAGAGCTGGAGGATGCTGTAAGCTGTAACGCCACAGTACTCTACCCAGGGTGACAAAGTGAGACTCTGTCGCTATAAAAAAAAAAAAAAAGCGTGCAAAGTTGTATCAAAGCCCACAGGAAAGGCCAGGTGTGGTGGCTCATGCCTATAATCCTAGCACTCTGGGAGGCTGAGATGGGTAGATTGTCCTGAGCTCACAGGTTTGAGACCAAACTGAGCAAGAACAAGACCCCTGTCTCTAAAAATAGCCAGGCGTAACGGTGGGTGCCTATAGTCCCAGCTACTCCGGAGGCTAATGCAAGAGGATCACTTGAGCCCAAGAGTTTGAGGTTGCTGTCAGTTATGATTCCATGGTACTCTACCAAGGATGACACACACACACACACAGTCCACAGGAAAGAGAAATTAATGTGTAGCTGTAGCCAAAGCATCAGGAAAAGAGATGAAAGACAATCTGGTCCTTACTGGATGAATAAGCAATAAAAGAGATAGGTATTTCAGAAAGGAAACTTAACATGAACAAGACATGAAGGCATGCAAGTTCACATAGTTTCCCAAGAAGGCCTCATAATCTGATACGGTTAAGTAATACAATACACAGAAGGCTGGAAAAAGAAGTAAGATTGAAAAAGTACCACGGTGAGACTACGAAGCATTTCTCAAGTTCATAAGGTTATTTAGACTTTGTTAGAAGTAGTTGAGAGTAACAAACTTAAAGTGGGAGTGGGCTACCTAACCCAATCTACATTTTAGAACAAGGGGTCTCAACTGGGGTAGGGGAGCAGACAACAGATGGACTTGAAAAGGCCTGTGAATCTCCATGTTCATTCTTTCAAAGACTCTAAGCTTTCAAAACAAAGGTTAAAAGTCTTTTTTAGAAAATAATTCTACAGAACACAAGATTAAGGAAAACACAAGAACCAGGAAAGGCTGGTTAATTAACTAATTAATAATCCAGATGGTAAATAAGTCACGAGGAGCTCAACCAAATATTAAAGAACCAAGGATCTGTAAGTCATTTCAAAAAGTAGAACTGTCATGCCTGGGAGGCCAAGGCAGGTGGACTGCCTGAGTTCACAGGTTCAAGATCAGCCTGAGCCACATGAGACCTCATCTCGAAAAACAGCTGGGCGTTGCAGTCCCAGCTATTCAGGAGGCTGAAGTAAGAGAATCGCTTGAGCCCAAGAGTTTGTGGTTGTTGTGAGCTATGACACCATGGCACTCTACCAATTCCAACAAAAAAAGCCAAAACAAACAAACAAAAGAAGATTCCAATTTCATGACTTAGAATTGAGTAGAAGGCTGTACTCTTCTTATCCATATCATGAAAATAAGGGAAGACAAGCAATTTTGGGGGGAAAAAAAGCTGACAATAAATACATTTCACCTTGGTAATTAAGGACTATGGATTTTTGTCTTTCTGGAAAGATCACTTTCTTATATAAAAAGGAAAGCAAGTCTGTGGCAAAAGCATTGACTAGATCAGAAATCTCTGTGTCTAAATCCCAGTAAGCCACTTAATTAGCCATGTGAATTCCATGTAGCTGGATAGCCTCTGAGCCTCAGTTTTCTTATCTATAAAATTCAAGGTTTGTATAGAGTTGTTGTAAGAATTAGTAATCATACGCATTAAGCCTTTGGCACAGGCCAGGCACTCAGCGAAAGTTCAATAAATAGTAGAGGAACAGTTAGGAAGCTGCACAGAAAAATAAAAGCACAAAAAGTACTGTTACATTCCATTTAAATATGCTTATTATTGCATTTTTGATTTCACCAACACAGACCAGTTTTCTTTTGTTGAACATAAAGATGAAATTAAGTATCCCATGAATGTTTTGTTTTCTGGAGACAGAGTCTCAGTCTGTCACCCTGGGTAGAGTGCTGTGGCATCATAGCTCACAGCAACCTCAAACTCTTGGGCTCAAGCGATCCTCTTGTCTGAATCTCCCAAGTAGCTGGGACTACAGGTGACTGCCACAATGCCTGGCTATTTTTATCTTTTTTTTTTCTGCAGAGACTCAAAGATATTTATTAACTAAAGACAGGGAAATTGATGGTCAGGAAATTTCACTTTAGTAAAAGTCATACAGCAGAGACCTGAGACCAGATTGTCTGATGTCCAAGATCAACCATGTTTCTACCACAGTCTTTATGGGTTGATAATTGTAGTTTTCCTTTTTTCCTTCAGGGGAGGGACCCACTTCCAACTGTGTTTGGAAGTGCTCTAAACTTTCTCTTTGTTCTTCCTAAATAAAATCTCTCTTTGCTACCCAGTCCTTTGGTGCTGGCAATGGCTTGGATGAGTCAGCTAATCCACAAGAATATAGGATCAGGTTCTTGGTTGAGGAGGTCACTGGACCAGTTGAATCACTTTCTTGGTATGATGGGCCACCCATTTAGGTGGGTCAGCCAATCCACTGGAATGCAGGACCTAGGTCTGAAGTTTCATCATATCTGCTTCAATTTAATGTTGGATTCATTCTAGTTCCTTTATTTCTTCATCCAAATGCCTAATTTCTTCATATTCTCTATACCTTTCCAGGCGCATTGGCTTTTCAAAATATGCTGGGCATAGGGGCATGTGTTTCCTACTTATAACAGTCCAGCCATGTCCATTCCTCTGTATTGGAATCTCTTCTGTCCTCCAGCTGCTCCCACAGGAAGCTCAGGTTTTCAACACCTGGCTATTTGTAGACATGGGTCTGCTCTTGCTCAGGCTGGTCTTAAACTCCGGAGCTCAAGCAACCTGCTCACCCTGGCCTCCTAGAGTGCTGGGATTACAGGTGTGAGACACCATGCACAGCCTAAAGATGGCTTTATGCCAGTATACCAGCCTAGGCAACACAGTGATACCTTGTCCTTACCAAAAAACTTAAAAATTAGCCAGAATGGTTGTGCACACCTTTAATCCTACTTAGGAAGTTGAAGCAGGAAGATCAATAGAACCTAGGAAATCAAAGGTTATAGTGTGCTATAATCATACCATTATATTCTAACCTGGGTGACAAAGCAAGATCCTGGCTCTTAAAGCTTAAGAAATAGAAATCAACTCAAATATTAAATGTTTTTATTGCAATTATTAATGACACTTCATTAACAATAGCTGTATAGGATACTATCACTTAAATAGTACTTTCATAAATACTGTCATTTCTGAACATTTAAAAACAAATTTGTGGCCAGACACAGTGCCTATAACTTCATGCCTATAACCATAGCACTCTGGGTGGCCAAGGTAGGTGGATTGCTTAAGCTCATGAGTTTAAGACCAGCCTGAGAAAGAGTGAGAATCTATCTCTATTTTTTGTTGTTGCTATTGAGACAGAGCCTTACTCTGTTGCTCTTTAGAGTGCCATGGCATTGCAGTTCACAGCAACCTCAAACTCTTGGGCTTAAGGGATTCTCTTGCCTCAGCCTCCCAAGTAGCTGGGACTGCATGTGCCCGCCACAACACTGGCTATTTTTTTGTTGCAGTTGTCATTGTTGTTCTTAGCTGGCCAGGGCTGGGTTTAAACCCACCACCCTCGGTGTATGTGCCTGGCACCATAACCACTGTCTTATGAGCACTGAG